TGGGTTCTACATGTTAGAACAAGTCGTTCTCTAACTGACACTGACTGGATTCTCAATGTTAGAATGAGCCGGTCTCTACCTGATGCTTTCCAGACTCGTGCTGTAGGGGTTCTGGTTGGTGTCTCTCCTGCACAGAAACACTTATCAGCACCTCACCTTTACATTAAAAATATTTTTTAGATTTACAGATGATCTGTTCCATCAGTGGAATCGACCAATCAGCAGAGGATTTTAGCTTTATCTGGATGTTTGTATTGTAGAGTCAAAGGTGGGGAAGACAAACCTGACTGGTGCTTTGGGATTCTCACACCAGACCTTTTTCACCAGGAAGGCCATGAAAGTGAGGACGAGGAATCCGCAGACAGCGACGATCCCAGTCAGCCACTGGGGCAGCGCCCGCTCAAAGTGGGTGGACGGAGCTGCACAGAGGTCAGATGTCATTGAAAAAGTTTTATCAGAATTGATCGGACTCTAACTGGGCCACCAATCAAACCCGACCCGTAGAAGCTGCTGAGAGTTTCTTTGAACCAACTCTCTTAAACGGTAACTCCTTTTCATTGTGAGCTGATTTTTTTTTGTTTCCTTCCAGCAATGGCAGCATGTCTTCAAAATAACTGTAGCAGGGCCGGTTCACATGCTGTTCCTCAGGCTGTGGTGGTCCTCAGCTTCTGAGCTCAGGGATTCAGCTTTTGGATCCAGACAGCAGCACACAGACTGAGCAGCACCAACCTGACATTCATGTGACTCAGGACTGGATTCTGGTGAAATGTTTGGATCTCTGGATGTCGCCAGAACCGGTTCTGCTGGATAAAATCCAGCTCTAACAAAAAAAACTAATAATCCAAAACTGCAGAATTTGGTAGGTCAGCAGATCTGTCGGATTCTTTTTCTGGACTTTGGTTAGTTTTTTTCTTTTGGTTCTGCTCCATTAGGCATATGAAGTTTGACCATTACTTATTAAGGTAGGAGAAACTTAAAAACATATGATCTGGTGTCATATCAACACAGAACCAGAAGGTCATAAATAAATGTATAAATGCAATTCCTCATCTGGCTCAAAAGCTTTAGTACTTCAGCAAACAAAGACCAATAATCCCTTCAACGATGACCGAACCCTGCAGCTCCTGTTGCAAGGGGCACAGGCGAGAAAAGCAACTTACTTATTGAAACATTCAAAGAGAATTACAACAATATTAAAATTCAAATAAAATTTGTATCTATTTTTTGTTTTATTTATTTTTTTATCTGATAATGCAGAGATCTGCTGCAGCTTAACTCCTAAAGGTATTTCCAATCACTTTAATGCATTTTAAAGAATTATCTTTCTGCTTTAACATAGAGAATCAACACATCAATGTAAACAGATGAACAGAACATTTCCAACATGGATGGATAAAGATTTAAGGTAGTAGGATTTTTTTCCTTGTAAATAAAAGCCTTGAGGATCATTTACAGCACATTGATTATATGACCAGTCAGCAGAAAGAAAAGCTGCTTCCTGCAGCAAAGTTCTACACAAACAAAAACTTTGAGGTTTTTCTGCTTATGTTACCTCACATCAAGCAGATTTATTACTTTACTTCACACCAACAGTTCAGTTTTGCCCAGAAATCTGGATAATTTTTTGAGATTTGAGGTAAACTTTGCCAGGTTTAGGAAGACCAGAAACACCAGTTGTTATCTTTTGCAGCATTTCTGCAGAAAGCCTCATAGGTTCTGCAGGTTAATCGGACCGTACCTGTCTGGGCCGTCACGGCTCCAACCAACAGCAGCAAACAGGACGTCAGCTCGAACACGCTTCCCATCTCGGAGTCTGGAAAACAATTAGCTTAGTCTCTGAGTGTGTCAGGTGTTCCTGCTGGACCTTCAGATAGTTTCTGTTAATCTGTAACTAAGGCTGTTATCTGCTCTGGTGCCTGAGCCCAAACCCAGCTTTTTCCTAAGAATCAAACCAAGCTTCTCTCCAGAAAAAAGTGTCCCAGGACGATGTTTTTTTTTTTTTTTTTTTTTTTCTGCAGAAAAAATGAAACTGCAGGTTTGACAGAAAACTGGGGATCCTCTATGCCTTGGATCCTATTGGGTTCCTCATGAAAAAAACTCAGTGTCATTGTCAAGGTAACCATATCACACTATAAAGGCATCATCATGTTTACAGAGACTGAACCCGGAAGCAAGCCTGATTTAGTATCAGAAGGAATGGAAAAAACTAGTGTCCAGATCCTGGAATTAACCAGAACCAGTTACATCTGAGTTGTTAAAAGCATATCTCCAAACTGGGAATCAGGTTCTTGTTTTTATTATAATATTTCATATAAGTAAAAAAATAGAACTTGCTCTTTAAAGAAGCTCCTTTTTCTGTGTTAAAGGACCATATGCATGTAGCTACAACATAGGGAGGATCACATTGGAACCACATGGGGAACACTCACGGATTTACCGTTTCACTTCCAAATTCTCCTGAGTGGTTCATGACTTTACACGAATGAATAAAGTGAATGTGATTGGTTGTTTATCAAGAGGATGGGATTGTTGTGGCAGAAGGTTTGCAAGCAAGTTACATTGTGACCGTTTTTTTTTTTTTTTTTGCGAAGCCCATTGCTAACCAGTCAGCAACTTAGTGCTAGTAGGTTCCCAATGGGAAATTACATTGGGACCAAGTAGCACATAGCAACGACACTGTCAAGGAACGCTATGCACAGTTAAAACATGCAAGAGAGTTTTGTGTCGGAGGTCATGGATGAGTCTCCTCCGTCATACATTTTTTTATTTAGAGGAGGAAAGCGGGGATGAAGATGTTGTGTAAGAGGACGCCAGGGCGGCAG